TGGATTCCGGGGGGGGGGGTACCATATATATATATATATACACACACACATACACACACACACACAATTTGCAGGTGTACATATGTATGTAAAAAGTGGCAGAACACACATTCTCTCTCTCTCTCTCTCTGTCTCTTTGCACGCTATATTATATATGTACATCATGTGTGTGTGTATATATATATATATATGTGAGCATAAATATAAATATATGTACACACATATACACACAAAATATACAATGGATGTGAGTGAGTGTGTGTGTGTGTGTGTGTGTGCGTGCGCACGTGCTTTTTTGATGTAATTACAGACTTTGTCAAGCTGCGAGACCCTGGCCTGAAAGCGCCAAGTCTAGAAGCCTTCAGCGGCAAAGTCATAAACTATATACGGGACAGAAAACAACTGCAGGCGTTAAGCCCGCTCGAAAGCCCCAAGGGTGCTAAGTTCCTGTTTGGACAGAGTAGGGTTTCTACGTCTCAATGGCTTCTGGCAAGCATCACCCATACAGGTGCTCTGGGTCCTTTGGGTCAGACACCCTGAAAACTTCATAGAACCGGGCCTAAATCAAAAGAGTATGGCTTTGGGGTACAGTATACTCTCACTACATTAACTCTCTTCTTCAACAACCAGGCCCAACAAAGTTCAAACTTTTTAGGGTAGACCTAATATATAAGGCCAAAAAGTTTAAAGTTCTCCCATTGGCTATCTAAGTTAAGGAAGCCTAACAAGTGTGCCAGGGCACCTGCTGCCCGGGCGGTGGCACCCAGCCAAACTCGACCTTCCAGTGGGTCGAGGTTTGGGGTTTGGGGTTTGAAGTTTTAGGGTTTAGAGTTTAGGGTTTAGGTTTTAGGGTTTAGGGTCTTCTTTGCTTTCTTCGGGTAGCGAAAAATTAGCCTGTGAGACTACGCAGGGATTCTGGTACCACAACTGCAAACCCGAAGATTACTTGTATACTGGCCCTTTTTAGGTGTGAAGGCGGGCGGGCAGGACAGGCTCAGGCTTAGGGGCTTAAGAACCTGTGATGGGAGGACGGTCGGATATGTTGATGTTGAGGGTTTAGGATTTAGGGGTGATGCTTTACTTGTGTATTCGTTTGGCTCGAGGGGTGGGGCGACAGGTTCTTGAGGGCTCGAAGAGTGCAGGGAGTATCCCCCGGACCGGATGCTGTGTTTATGTAATTCGTGCCCCAAACCCACCCTAAAACCTAAACCCTAAAACCCCGTCTCCCAGCGAAGCCCCAACACCCAAAGTCCCTCAGTAAAACCTCAGAACCAATTTCCACACACTCAGCCGCCCAGGCTCCCGATCCCAATCTCCAAAAGGCCCAACCCCTGCACTCGAGACGCGCTCAAAAGAACCCAAACTTTGGATCTACAACCCTAGAATAGATCCTGAACCCTTCTATCACCAAAGCATATGAAACCTCACTGTTCAGGCCCCAAACCGTGCCTTCGGGTTGAAAGCCATGTATCCAAAACGGATGATCTTCCAGTCGCCCACGATGAGTGCATTGCCATGCATCTCGCGCAAGGAGGAGGGGAAGCCCTTTCAAAAAGCACTACTCACTGAAACCTGACAACCACAATAGAGACATAGAACCTTGAAAAGCCCCAAAGCCCTAAACCTCCAATTCCTGAAGCGCAAAGTCGAAACCTGCCATCCCGAAGCCCTAAACGCCAAAACCTTACGGTCCCAAAGCCGTAAGCCTCAAAATCCTAGTCAAACTCTAAAGCTCTAAACCCCTCAAAACCCTAAACCCAAAAGCCATCACAACACCCGAAAACCCCTCCAAAATCTACCAAAACCCCCCCAGACCCCCTCCAAAATATTTCCCCTGGCCCTGTCCTGCCAGTGGTGCTCTGGGTGCGCTTCCAGGAGCACCTGGTTCTTTCAGAAAGTTTGGTTTAAGGCTTCCCAACAAAACCTAAACCATAAAGGGTTTAGGGCTTATATGGGTTTAGGGTTGTAAGGGTCCTTAGGGTCTCAAGAAAGCCGTGAATGATTGTACGATCTGCTACTCTGTTTTGCACGGCCTTTCTATGGGCTTCGTCGAGGTTTATAATTTTTCTGCCTCTTCGGGGGCACCCTACCTAAGGCCAACATGGATCCTACTAATGTATAGTGGTTGAAGTAGAATCCCCTAAATCCGATCAACCCTAAACCCTACAGCGACGTAAAGCAGAACCCCTAAGCCCTAAACCCTGAAGCGCCCTTAAAGTAGAACCCCTGCCCTCAGCCATGGCCTCGTTCCGGACTTCTAGGCCTTTGCTGAAGGTGTCCCAGACCTGGACAGAGGGCTAGGTAAGGGTTCTTTATGAGAGTTTGGTACCGGTGTGGCTTACGGGGTGTCGGGCTTTATATAGGTTTGGCAAGGGTTTTCATTAGGCTCTGGTGCTTTTTCATGGCTCAGGCAGTTGGGATTTTGGGCTTATATTGGTGCTGTAGGATTTTCCTGCCTTTGTTGGCTCTCTATGGCATGGAGTGAAGTCTTAAGATGCACAGGGGTACGGGGCTGAAAAGCAGATGGGGGGCAGTTTATCAACCGCCATGTATATTACTCTCTCCCTCAATTCCAGGGGCCTCGATCCCAGCCACGCCCAAAAGAATACGGAAGAAGGACAGAACCCAGCGAGTTAAAAGAGAACCCCAAAACGACACACTATGCCGGAACCTCCAACCAAAAAGCCGAAAACGCCGAAGCCTTGAGCCCTAAACAGCAGAAGGAATAAGTTCTGTAGTTCGACTATTGTTTAGGGTTTAGGCTTTAGGGTTTAGGGTTTAGGGTTTGGACCATGAGCTGGCAAGCCGCATCGATGCCATCCCCGAGTATCAGTCGGGGCTCCCCTCTGGGCCAATTCCTGGAGGTTTCCTTTTTCTTGAATGGAGGGCCTCAGAAACTCCCCGTCTTCAAACCGGATTGGCTTGATGTGTGCGAATGTATGTGTGTATATTGTATATGTAGACATATGTATATATATATATATGTATATATATGTATATGTATATGTATGGAACCCCCCCGGTACCTAGGTTGTCTCCTGTTCAAGTCAGCCGCCTTGTCCCGAATATGTAATATATACATTATATATGTAGACATTAATATACCTATATTATGTATATACACACTTGTAGGAGAGGCTATCATAAGGGAAAACAGCAACAAAGCCCCATGCCCAACAACAATCTCCACCCGTTGTCTCCTTGTTCTGGAACACGATACGCTGCAGCACCCTTTTTTCTATTTCTATAGGTCCTAAACCCTGTACAAGCCCTAAACCCACAACCCAAACCCAACACGCGAGCTCAAATTCCGAAACCCTCACGCCATTTTGCGTTGTTGGAATAGTAGTACAGCATTGCTGTTGCCTCTATTTCGCACCCAAAGCGCCCGAAACTGCCGAACCCAGACCCAAAACCCAAACCGCAAGCCCTAAGCCCTTAACTCTAAACCTCAAACCTCTAGCTGGGGTTTAGGGTTTAGGGTTTAGGGTTTAGGGTTTAGGGTTTCTAGCTCCCGCCCCCACGCTGCGTGTCAGTCCTCTCTAGCCAGGTACTGTCGTCGGCCGCTATCCTGCCAGCAGACTTCGCTTCCGCTTTGGGGCTACGGAGTGGAGAACTGAACCCCAAACCCCAAACCCAATGACTAAACCCAAATAGGTTAAGGCAGACTAAAATGCGAAACACTCAAGACACAAGTTCTCAAACCTACAGAATACCATGATACCACAGCGCCCGATGTAAGAAAGAGAGGCCTCACCAAGGTGGGCAGCCAGTCGGCAGCGTGCACCTGCAGAATGACCCAGGTTCTCTAGCTTACGGGCTTAGAGTTTAGGTTAGAGAGTTTTGGAATACAATGAGGCTTCTGGAAACAAAGTCTACAGTAGAAGCCAATTTTAACAGTATTATCCTCATGCCGCTAAGAATGGGGAATAGAAGGGTTCTATCAGGTTCGAGGCTTTCAGCTTTCGGCTTGTTTGATTGTAGAATGTTGGGGTTGTAGTTTCAATCTAGCGTTCACGATAAAAGGGTTCTACCAGGTTTTGGGATTTCAGCTTTGGGTTTGTTTGATTGAAGAATTTGGGGTTGTAGGAATCGTGGCGCCATTGGGGCTCGGGGGCGGAGAATCGACTGAGATAATTGGCCAACTCTGCAGTGGGTAGAGGGTTTTAGGACCTAGGGGGGGTGTTTATCTTACAGTCCTCAAAGGCTCAGGCGCATGCAACTCCAAATAGCCCAACGTCAGGAAATACTATCTATAAGCAGACTTTAGACCCCAATGTATGGTATCGGTATTGGCTGTATACTTGGAGTCTTGGGCAAACCCTCAAAGTCATACCCTAAACCCTAAACCCTAAACCCCAAACCCTAAACCCTAAACCCTAAACTTTAGCCCTAAACCGTGACAGTCATGCCTCCGAAGACAAATTCTCAGAACCGACCCGCACCGAAAAGACTGAAAACTCCAAAAGACCGCGGGCGTGAGTTTCAGAGCTCCAAAAAGAGAGGCTTGCTGTTTATGGTGTAGGGATTTAGAGTTTAGGGTTTAGGGTTTAGGGCTTAACACGCTTTGGGAAGTTTTTGGACTTGGGATGCACGGTTTGCGCCCCACAATTCCTTGGAAAGGCATCAGGCTCAGGCCAACATCAAGTTTGCGCTGAAACAGGCATGTCATACACTTCCTGATTCCTACCACATGGCAACTGACCGCTCTACAAACCCTTCTCAACAACATCGGTGCCCACCAACAGCTTCTGTGGACCTTGACCATACTATATAAGGCTTTCGGGCTTTGCACCGACAGTAGAACGGCTTAGCTTTGGAGTGTTCCCCCCATCACATACCTTGAGGCCTTGTGGTAGCTCACCGTGCCGACGAGCTCAGGAGCAATTCCTGAAGGACGTGAGATTCTGTGACGGGTTTAGGGTTTAGGGTGACTTCGGGGGCACGAATGATGCTCACTTTCTGGACATTCCAAAGTACCCATAGGCTCCATGGTAGTTCCTTTTTGGGATTACCTTATAGGATCCTAAATATCAACCATAAGAAGGAACTACTATGGAGCCTATGGGTATTTATCGAAAGCGAGCTATCTTCTTGTAAAAGACCTCCATGTCTCGATTGCTTGAAAATTAACCCTCGAGCCGAAACTGAAATACCGAGGCTGGTTGCATGTAGGAGCCTGAAGGCACACACCCCCCGGAAACTCTTCTGCAGGCTGCAGGGTTGCTCTGTCGTTGGAAAGGCGGGACCATCGGGGAATGCGCTTCCACTTCCACATGGGGAGATCCAAAACCACAAAGGGAATCGATCTTCTGCCTATGATTTTTTGGGTGGGGACAAAGCCTTCTCAACAACTACCAGGAAACTGCCATGCAAAGACGAAACATGAAGCCCAAACCCGCAGACCTGGCAAAACCTACATCCCAAAGCCCGAATCCCAAAACCACAAGCCCTGGACTCCAACAGTCTCCCTCCAAGCAGAATCTACATGAAACAACATCGAAAACCCCGCCGGCCATCCCAGCCCAGCTATGGGTTTAGGGTTTAGGGTTTAGGGTTTAGGGTTTAGGGTTTAGGGTTTAGGGTTTATAGGGTTTAGGGTTTTAAACCCATAGACCCCTATCCAGACCACCAACCCTCGGAACCCCTAGAAAGCCTGAGCCTTTATGCCTGGCCGTAGACACCTAAGCCGTAAACCTCCCTAAGCCGGCAATAACCTTAGAAAAACCCCCCAAACTTTAAACCCTAACCTATTCCCAAACTCCTTTGTACCTTTTTGCCCCTAGACACTGCTAGAACGCCCTAAGCCCCTAAACCCTAAATCCCAAAGCCCCTAAAACCCTAAACCCTAAACCCTAAACCCTAAATCCCAACGCCCCTAAAACCAGTAACAACAAAGAGGCAACCCAGAACACCCTAGACGCCCTATAAAGAAAGCTTCGCAAACATGCTTAGAACCACGCCCCTTTAAACCCCAGAAGACCCAATAAACCCCTAAAAGCCTTTAGAAACCTTCAAAACATTTAAAAAAACTTAAACTCTTAAGGACCCCTAGCAAACACTAAAGACCCCCAAACGGCCCTTTAAAATCCCCTTAAAAAATTAAAAAAGACCCTAAAGACCCCTAGAACACCCTAGGCTGAAGGCTCGTGACCTGGCCCGCGGATCGCCGCCGCCACGCGAGTGCCGCCCTCCCACCTGACTGAGGCTTTATGAGGCTAGATCCCACGATTTACACTGTGCTTTGGGGGGAAAAAAACAGCGTAGCTATGATAGCATGTTATTCAGGGTTTGTGCTAATTGCGAACTATTCAAACCCCTCTGATCAGGGAGGTGGGAGATGCTGCATGCCGCGAGACAGCGAGTTCTTGCCACCTCTCAGTGGGTAGTTGCTCGACCAGCTGCCTGCCGTGGCTTCGTTGGGGGGGAGGGGGGTGATTGGGGGACAACAAATCGAAAAAGGAAGCTGTAAGCGTACACTTTGGCCTTACATGAAGGGGATTCGCATTTATAGAAGCCTGAATAAGTGGACAAGGGTCTGCATGCTTATATGAGGGGGCCTTTGAGGAATACATACGGCTAATTTCTGTAGTTGCTATGAGCCGGCTCACACTACGACTAGAAAGCCCCACCGCACCTCTAAACTTTAAACCTCTCTTGACCCGCAACCCCCGACCCCAAAACCCTTGACCCTAAACCCTTTAAGAACCCTTAGAATATGGCACTCTTACAATCATTCTGGAACCTGTCGAAGGCCCTTAGAGCCACCGCAAACCTTGATAGGACCATTGCAGGACTCCTACAAAGCCATTATGAGCCACTGTAGGACAAAATATACCCGAAGCCCTGTACCCTAAACCCTAAACCCTCAACCGCATGCCCTAATTAAACCCTAATAATATCTGATAGGAACTAATGGACCCTAAACCCTAAAAGCCGAAAGCCTAAGCCTTAATATCATTAACTTCTGATAAAACATAAGATGCCCTAAACCCTGTACCCTAAACCCTAAACCCTCAAGCCTGACCCTAAACCCTAAACCCTAAACCCTATACCCCATACCCCAAACCCCAGGCCCTGAAATCTGAGTGGAGCCCAAAGAGCTACTTCCGAAGGCCCGGAGGCCTTCGTCGCCGTTGGTGGGGCCGCCGTTGTCCGAGGCGAAGATGATCAACGTGTCCTCTTTCTGGCTCAGGGTTTCGGGTTTAGGGTTTAGGGTTTCGGGTTTAGGGTTTAGGTTTTAGGTTTTCTGGCTTAGGGTTTTAGGGTTTAGGG